TCAGGCAAGATTGAACATTAAAAAAGGTGCATGGTCGGCGCGTATAAGAAAGAATAAGTCACCTTTGTCAGTTTTGAAATTGAGGACCGGATGTGCTTCGAAAGTGAGGGAAGACATCGGGCTCACCAGCATCAACATCAAGAAAAACAGACAAATCAAAGCTAGAAACTGTAATTTTTAAGTTACAAAAAATAAGAAAAAAATAAGACATCGGGCTCACCAGCATACTACTCGTCGTCGGACACGTCAGCGACCTTCATGCAGGCAGTGCTGGACGGCCCTGCCTCTGGGTGGACGGCCGCTTGCCGCACCTCCGACTCCTCAGTGGAGTCAATCTCGGCGAAGATCTTGTCGAACTCCACGTCTTGCTGGCGGAGGAAGTGGCAGTTGGCCTCAACCTCCGCCTCCGGCTTGATAGAGTCGAGGATGGTCTGCTGCTCGGTCACCTCCTCCGCTTGGGCCACCTCAAACTCCGCCGGCACCTCGGACATGGCGAAGCCCGCAGCCAGAGATGCTAGATCCGCCTCTTCCTTCTCTGACTTCGCGTCGCGCCATGGCCTCGTCTTGCTTTTTCTCTTCCTCCTTCTTCACAACCACCACCTCCTCCTCCTCTGGCTCTAGCGAGTCCGGAGGTAGGCCGACTGCGATCCAGGCTTCACACATAACCTGAATATGCTCAAGGAGCTGGAGCCCCCCGCTATGGCGTGGGCATGGCGTAGGTCGTGACCCGGGGTCGGGGCATGGCTAGCGGCAGACGACGAGTGGAATGTGGCAGCGGCGGATGGGAGGGGAGGGAAATATGGACGGGGGGTAGGGTTTGGGTGATGGCGTTCGGCTTAACTAGCCGGACTAGGGCCCTTGGGCTGCACCATCGAGAATAAAAGAAGACGCCCGCCAGGCCGAAGGGTTTCAGAGTGTTTTCACGTGGGTCCCAGCGGTCAGCCCAACGTGGCGGACGCGGCCATGTTCGCCCTAAAGTTGGGCTGGATATGAGGGGTGCCGATCAGTCCGAACAAATTTGGGCTATTTTTTGACTGAGTCGTCCTCCCGGACATATAGGGAGTGGGGTGGGAAGCCTGGTTGTAGATGCTAGGAGAAATACATCCCTCGAAAGTACCGATGAAAGAATGAGCGATGGTTCGTAACATAAAAAGGTAGCTCATTTTCCCCAAAAATAGAAAACGACTCGGAATTACTAGTAAAATCAACTGTTTAGTAGTACTAGAACAAACCAAACAGTTCTACGGCCGAGAATTTGCATAAGAGAGTTAAGTCACAACTCAAAAGTTCTGGATGAAAAAGAGCGGTTGTACCGCACTTATCCCGTGAACAACAAACAAGCAAATCAAGACAACCCGGAAGTGTCGATGAAAAATGTTGTGCTCGAAAATGCTATAGTAAATAGACAATGTTTCAAAGAGGAAAGGATCCACAATTCCAGAACATAATGAATTGCAGTTCCGAACTTTTGAAAGGTTTGATCTGTGAGTATGAATAACCCAAAGTAGCTACCGGAAGAAAATCTTCGATACCAAGGCTTAGAGAAACTCATACAAAGGGAATGGATATGGAATGGATTTTGGAGACTTTGGATTAATTAGGATCTGTTCTTGGAGTTCAAACCAAAGTACTTGTTTGTGCCCCTTATCATATTATGGTTGTCGTATACTCAATGTTAATTTTGGATGCACTAAAAGCCTAGAAAGTACATACTAAGAGGTTGATGGGGACAACAACTAGAAATGTTGTGCGTGGAGTCACCAATGATCTTCCACTTAGCCACCTGCATATGAAAAATAGCCCTTAATCCCTGAAATAGACTCATTGAGATCATTAATTCTCTCAAATGGTTTTGCCATAAATCATGAAAACAACTAGGATATGGTATTAAGATGCACTTTCAACCTAGAACATGCGGTGGAGGCATGTGCACACGACTACTGATCAAGTAAGTCATCAATCAGTGTTACATTTTTTGACAGTATATCACAACCTTCTCCATATCGTTGTTAATCATTTGTTCTCCCATCTTTTGTGTTGAAAGACCCTTATGTACTCTTATGTTGAGATGCCAGACTTT